ATCCGTATGGAAGCAAGAAGGGAGCAATCGATCCGTATGGAAGCAAGAAGGGAGCAATCAATCCGTATGGAAGCAAGAAGGGAGCAATCGATTCGTATGGAAGCAATCGATTTGTACGGAAGCAATTGATCCGTATGGACGCAATCGATTTGTATATTTCCGTGTTATTCCGTGTTATTCGTGTTATTCCGTGTTATTCGTGTTATTCCGTGTTATTCGTGGTGTTATTGCTATCCTGAATAAAAGAGCAATGTTAGATAGCTGTTAAGAAATAGTAAGCAGTATTCCTATTAACACAGTTAGCAACACCCCCAGTACCAGTAGTATTGGGCCTGAGGTGCTTGTAGGAATCAGTAGTAATGAGTCCGTGTGGAGGTGTTTGACTCGGTAAAATTACAGGTTTTCATTTCCCAGTAGTAAGCACTCTTAAGAGTACTTCAAAGTACTTAGCATTGTAGCAAGGTGTGTACTCGTACCTCAATTTTTATTAAGTTTTTGGATATTTCCGCTCCAGTAGTAAGGCTCACTCTTACAAATACTTGCATTGCAGGGAGTTAGCGATAATTTGTGTGTGTGTAGAATCCTACGGACTTTGTACTGTGTATTTATTATTGTATATTGGGTGATTCCCGTAAACACAGATCTATGTAATATTGAATTAGAGTTCAGTCGTGCACACATAGAAGTATGTGTTTTTGACACAGAATCATAGATTTTTGGTTCAGGCAGGCTCTCGACAACCATAAGTATGCAAAAAAGACATAGATTTTTTGGAATCRTGGATTCAAAAATTCATCAGTCACGGGCAACTGCTGACATCCAGTTCTCAAGTGTCAAAGAGCCGGGCTTTTGAAGCAAAATTCCATATTCCTAAATTAAGCACATGTAGCGCGCCATAATTCAATATCTATAATTCTAAGATTTTACATACTTATTCCCGTTGAGTCATAGACTCAATTTATGTCAGCATAGATTCTATGTTTACGGGAATCACCCATTTTATTACAGGTACCCACACGGTACAGTACCGTACAAACACATTACGTACGAAGTCACAGACAGGGGTCACAGAACCGTTTGGATCGGATCTCAAAAGACTTCCTGCGGGAACGTGTACGTACTCGTACCTACCCGTAGCCAAGGGTCATAAAGTTCACTCAGCTAATGGGTGATTCCCAAAATGCTAAATACTCTAGATTTGATAGACTGACAGACCAAAAATTTAGTGAAAATGACTCCAGATTTAGCAAGTTTAGGACTGGTCAAACCAACCCGTCCTAAATACTCTACATTTAGAGGGGAATCCACGAATAAAAATTTCGAGTCCATTGAGGGACCCTTAAAAGACTCAACAGAAAGGCCCGCCAAAATTAAGACTCCGTTGGTGTTGTGAACAACATAGTAAGAAACAACAAGCAACAACGCGCCTCTATTCACCATGGCGCCTTCATCAGTCAAGCCATTTAAACAATATGTCCCAACAAACAGTCTTTCTAGTCACTACATTTTATTACCTCTATTTGTTGCATCAAAGAGAGCAAGAGGAGGAGAGCGGCAACTGCAAAGAGAGGTCTCATTGTCCAATCCCCCGTGTTCTTTTCCTCAACATGGATCAAAACGCCAACAACAACAACAACAGCTGCAGAGCCGGTACAGTTAACTACTCTGAAGAAGAGCTAGAGAGTCTCATGGAGTTGATAGTGGAGGTGCTCCCCATAGACTCTGAACAGTGGGATACTGTTGTCACCAAGCATACTGTTTTGTTCCCCTTTGATAGAAGCAAGAAATCTATCAGGAACAAGTACAACGCCATCAAAAAAAAGAGGAGCTCAACTGGTAACC